GCAAAGCTGAATGTTGCCTGGTTAATATCTCAGACAGAGGTAATTTGGGGAAAAAACAAAAAACAAAAAACTTACAGGCTTTGGAATGAGGAATTTTTTTCTATTTCTGATATTAAGAAATTGCCAGCTGCTTAAATAAGCTTAGTAGTATGGTATGTCAGCCCAAGTACTGGGGAAAGACTCTTTGGAAAGATTCAGTGCCAAAATCCTCCAGTGCACATCTGTATCATTAAAGCAGCCTTTGCAAAGGCACATCAGGTTGTTCTTTGACATGAAAACAGGACAGATGAGCAGCACACTAGGACTTGCGCTTTACTGGTAGGTCTAAGTTTTGAGAAAGACACCTCCAAAGTCTCATTAAATACCACTCCTTGGAAAGATGTGATTACAAACACAGTATAATTTATTTTGCTAGTGTGCTTCACCACAGGGCTGTAATCACCAGCTGTCTGGTGTTTGGGGTGTGAATACATACCTAGAGCTAGAGGATTAACAAAAACATCAGAGCTAGATTGTGCCTTGAGGCACAATTGATTCTACTTGATTCTACTGTCCTTCCTGTTACATCTTGTGATGTTTTCTGTACTCACATATTCATCTCATAAGACATCCATGTGAGCAGCTCTGTGGTTTTGTTTTCATGTTTAAAACAAGTCGCTGTAATCAGCTTTTCTGTAACCTTAACTGTAGTTGTTATGACCATATTAAAGTATTACTTTCCAGGCTCAGCCTTGATTTAGCTCCATGATTAGAGGCTTAAACTCTAGTGTGGGGAAAGTCTATAACAAAATTGAAGCTCTCTTTAATTTCCTGTGATTCAGCATGCTTGACAGCCACCCAGCCTTTCTTCCCATGCTGTTATGTTTGGGACTTGCCCTCTGATTGCCAGTGGATTGCTGCTACTTCTCCAGCTAGTTGTTCTAGATTGCATCAGTGATAGATAACCGCTTGTCCAGTGCTGGCTTGGAGGCAAAGATATGCCAACTGAGTATGCAGTTGTTGTTAAACAGACCCAAACCTCACCAAAAGCACACTTATTTCAAGATGAAAGTGAGTTTTCAGTGATGTGAGCATGCTTCGGATTAATCCCTGAGATGCTTTCCTTATTTAAAATGATAATGGGAAATATTAAGGATAGGGATGTAAGGCCAGGACGGAATCTTTTCAAGGGATAATTTTTTTTATGGCTACTACATTGTACTGTACATTTTTTATGTACTACATTGCTTCTTAAATAAAGATACAGAAACAAATGTTTCATTCCTTATATGGGTATGTCTGCATTGACTTTTAGTACAAGAATACAGCCTGTATATTTAGAAAATAATGTAAACAATGTTACAGGAGCAGTCTTTTAAGTTTGTTTCCGGAGCGCATTTATTTGACAGTCCCTTAGTGTAGAAGCCTGTTAATAGTATTTCCTAAATTAAAAAGCCATCGTGAATGGCCTCTCATTCTTCTGCTCCAAAAATAAGTACAAAATGAGCCAGCAGCGTTGCAGTCAGAGAGCCTAGGAATGTAATTCTGAAGTAGCTCCAGCTGTGAAATCTAGGAAATCAGCCAGGCTGGTTTCGGCTCCCCTTAAACAAGGAACTTCCACCTACCAATAAAAGGAATGGGCACTTTGTTTATCTTTCCACAGGGTACTGATATACATCTTAAATGTGTCTAATTGAATCAGTCAATCAGCTGTCAAGATGAGTCCCTTAGTAGTAGCATTGAAACAGTGATAACCCACCAGCAGATAATGAAGTTCTCTGAACAATTCTGAGTGACACTTGAATACAAACATCTGACAGAAATTTTCAAATTAGATAATACCTTGGAACAGGTGGCTGGCACATCTCTCTGCAGTTCAGAAAGCGGTAGTGCCTGCTATTCACCAGGCACTGAAGAGGAAATTGCTCTCCCACAATGTATTTTTTCAGTCATAGTTCATAACAGTAGTGCAAAGCTTGGTGATTGCTTCTGAGAGATTACTTTTTTGCTTGGATTTGGAGAGTGTGGGTTTCTTTTTGCCTCTTACTTCAGGGGTTATGGTAGGAAAGACTTCAGTCATAAGATAGTTATTTCTTGCTAGATCTGGACAATGTGTGATTGGATTCAAAAGCTAAATTAGAAATGAGAAAAAAAAACAGCTTAAGTGAAATATGTCTTCTCACATTTAAAAAAAAAAAAAATCTGTCTTAATGGTAAAGAATTTTCTTTACAGTTATTTTGTCCTCTAAAATTTTTTTAAATGAGGACTTATTTTCCAAGGAAAAACTGAATGTTTTTAGTTGAACTTTCCAAAATTAGCTCTAATTACTGTTGATTGTATAGACACACACATATATATACACCCTTAAAGCTATTTTACAGATTCACTGATAATTTCACTGATAATAATAATTTCTCTGAAAATGTTAATGAGAATTTAGCATTTACATAAAATGCTTCTCTTTCTTTTTTTCTTGTAATGCCATTTGCTTACTCATCTACCATAATTGCAGGTACATCTTGCAGTGGGCATCTGATTCCTCTTTTCTGTCTAAAGAAAGCTAGGAAATGGCATGTTTTCTTGGTAGTTCCTTGCATCATACTAAAAAATTTTCCTGGTACATAACAGATCTGGTTGGACTCCCTTCCAACCCCTACAATTCTGTGATTCTGTGATCTAAATTATTTCGTTTTTTGTTTTGTTGTGTATAATGTATACCTAAATTGTACCTTCTGTTTTTATCTCCACCTTTCATTTTTGTGTTATTTTCCATAATTATCACTCACATAACTCAGCCTTACTTACTAAAGAAGCTAACTGAATTTTTGAACCTGAATTCACTTCATACTTTTCTCCTGCTTTTGTGACATTATTAGTTGATGGTTAGTTGGTTGGTTGGTTTTTTTTGTTTGTTTGTTTGTTTGTTTTAATATTCTAAGTCTAGGAAATGTTAAGGACATACATGTTCTATACTGACAGAATTTCAAAACATTGCCTTATTTATTTGAAATTGTAAGTAACTCAGGGAAACAATTTACTCATCTATGAGATTGTACTTTTTCCTTTTTCACTTTATGACATAAGTGCTAGTTCAATTTAAAAACTAAGCAGTTATAAAGTTTCTAGTTTGCTTTCAACCTACATTGGCTTGGCTTTAAATTATAATCTAAACATAATCTCTGCATACATGTGTCTGTTTTTTAGATGGTCTGGGAAATATGAAGGTTAAAATTAAGATACTTTTTAAGGAGTGCCTGTCAAAGGTTATGAGGTTATCGTATAACTCAAAAATACTTTTTTTAAGTGTGCATAAGCATATATGTCTTCTGGGTAGGCATTTTAACAGAACGATTTCCTAGTCGTGCTATGAAACAACATAGATGTTCTTTATTCTTTTTTAAATGCACGTAACTGTGTGAGCAGGACTTATTTCAAATCAGTCTCATAGCTTTCTTGATTATTATTAAGATAAGAGATTTACAGAAGCACTTTGGGTTTTGTATAAGAACTGCTTGGCCGAACAGAATCTAATGCTTCTGAATAAGAAATTGTGCTGTGAAGTCCGGAATTAAAGATGTCGGTTATCCTTCCACTGTGTGTTTCTTAGTTGACTGACTTCCACTTTTAAAAAGACGCAATTTCAAACTGAGGCTTTTCTTATGACTGATAACATTCATCACGTTTTCCTCCTGTGTGACTTGTGCAGGATTTTCCAATGGCTTGTAAGGAGCAATCTCTTACCTTTCCCTTGGCTGACTTTACCAGGTCTCTCTTCCTCCTCTGCCTGTTTTTACAAAACTCGTTAGAACATAATTATTGCTGGAAAGTCTTAGGCAGTGTCAAATCTGGTTGAACCAGTTGGCCAGTTTTCAAAAGTCTCCGCAGAGTAGGAGATACTCAGAAACATGCAGGCAGTGTGACAGCGTGTGCTTTGTTGCTTTGGAAATTGGTGAAATAGACAATAGTCGTGAACTTTATTTGCTGAATTCCTGTAAATTCAATTAAACCATGTCATCAGCACTCCAGTTATCAAGCCAAAAAATGCACTGAGGGATTTTTCTGCTCAAAAAGCATTCAGTGGGATGGCTCTTATTAAGACCCCCTGCCTCCTTGTCACGCTAACATCTGCTTACTATGCTTGAGAAACCCGGTATGTTCTGAAACCAGTGTTTACAGAATTCTACAATGGCATCTTTCTTCACATCCCTGCTGCTTTTTTTTTTTTCTTTTTCATGAGTTTGCCAGTGTGGCAAGTGGCTGTGAGGGTTTGGATGCCTCAGGAATGGGGCTTGTAAGGTGAGGGAAATCACAAAATTACAAGCATTTTCTAGTCAGGCTTTTTATTATTATTATTATTATTATTATTATTATTATTATTTTATTTTATTTTAGCAGCTTAAGGGAGCTGTGCTTTGGAGCTGTGATGTAAAGTAATGTTAGCTTGCAGAAATCATTGGTAACATGCTGGCATGCCAGTAGCTCTCAATGCAGGTTTCAGTGCTGTTGCATCAACCTTCATTTACCGTTTGTGGTTCTGTGGCCAGAATATTAGTCAGGGTATTAATTCACAGAATTTCTGAGAAACAACACGCTGGGTGGGCTGTAGGAGGAACTAGTTACTAACTGGATTTACCATTCTGCAGACAACCCTGTCCCTAAAGGGCCCAGCTCTTAGTCAGCAAGTGGCAAATGAAGTACTGATTTATGAAAATTAATACATTAGATAGGCATGATGTATATTATCAAACAGAATTGCCCTTCCCTGGAGCTTTGCACAACAGACACGTTTGGGAATTAGAGAGGTCAGCCCTGCTGTGAGGCAGAAGTGACAACCGTGAAAGCTGAGGACTTGAGTGTTGAGTACTGGCACTTAGCTCATAGCGTCAGTACTCAGAAATCATAATAGCTTTCTAACTAAGGTTTGCTTGCAACAAAGTATTTTTTTAATGCACTTGCAAATTTTAAAAATAAAACTCTTATTAGGGCCTGTACTAATGGTCCGCTTTTTTCTTTCTTTCAGACCTATAAAATATGCCATTCTACAGTATACTGAAGAAAGGTTTTTTCTTTATAATTTGGCTCAAGTGACAGCTGAAAACAAAGGAATGGGAGAATGGGGAAGGCTCAGTGGTGACAATAGCAGGAGAAACCAAGAGTAAACCATCCAGATTACAGCATTGCTGTTCACCATTTCAGCTCCATTTCAACTTGAAGAAGAAGAAGCAAAACACAGAACAGGCAGTAACTTACCCAACCACTGGGGCTGCAGTTTTAGAAATGAAAAGAAATGCTGAACATATATGTCATCATACACAATAGCAAAGATAAACGCAATGATGTTTCAGGCTTTCTCTGTGGTGCTGTTGGCACGCAGCAGAGTAATTACCAAGTTATCCAGCATGATTTGAATGGAACTGAGTGAAACTTAATTAGCTCCTGTCTTTCAAGCATTTCTTCATCCACAACACTTGTAATCTTTGGGGTCCTGCTGTGCAACTGTAATGTTCTACAGGAAAAGCAAGCTGCTAGGGGAATCCCATTCCAAAATCTGGTCTAGTTTACCATCACATATTGTAATTCTTGTACTAGTGGTGGTCTGTGAGTGAATGCTGAAACAAACCTTACCTCAGTGCAGTTTGGGCAACCGAGTTTATGGAATCTTCTTTCTCGTGGAAACCATTTCATTTTTGTCTGTTTTCGTGGGTTTCATGAGTTCATATACCACAATACATTCCTTTTCCCCAAGATTTTGAGCAGCCGAGGTCCTTCCAGAATACACTCCACTGCCAAAATGCTCAGTGCAAACCATTTGCTTATTCACCGTTGTTTTACCTCCACAGTCTGAATCTCTGGGATGCTCTTCCTGGGTTTCACTGCAGTTTTAGCTATGGTGAAATTCCAAGCTACTTCACCTTCCCAGATTTCTTGCTCAAATTCCAGATGTACTTATCTTGAATTCCTCTAATCTTGTTAGTCATTGTTTCTGTAAATAGTTCTGTTATTTCCTTCATATCAATTCACCTAGAGTACAGTTCAGTCTTTCCTCACTAGAAACCAGTCCATCCTGATAATGTTGTCCCTTCTAGCCAGCATAGTTAGCCTAAAAAACTTGCATATCTTATCCTAGGTAGAATAAGACTTTTTTTTTTTTTTTTTTTTTTTTTTTCTCCCCTTATAAAGATATCTTTTGTGCACTTATGTTTATGCTCTGTAATCCCACCTTCCTGAAGCACAGGGGAATCCAAAACAGGAGAGTATGTTCCTGCTGCAGCCTCATTTAGGCACCTTGTGCAAAGGCCTTTCACTTTCCTGGGCACAGGTTGGAGCTGAGCCCTATTATTATGTTGTTCCTGAGCTCTGCCTTTGTTTTCCTTTGAACTGCCTCCTACGTGCTGGCAGGCTCCTGAAACAGTGCACAGAATGGTCTTTGCCCAGTGTTCAAACTGCAGAACAACCCTGTATTTACTTTGTTTTGTACAAGGAGGTTTTCTTTGTGTTCTCTTACAGCACTGTGCATTGGAAATGGTGCAGAAGCCTTGCAGCTTCAGCCCAGCCTGGGAGCCCCAGGAAGAACAGTCTCAGGAGATGTGGGAGGAAGTTCACTGCTACTTTGTTCTAGGTAAGAACTACATATTCTCAACATGTGAAACATTTGTCACTCTTGGATTGAAACTACTTATTGTAAAACGTTACTTAAAGCAGTGCTTCAGGGTGTACCTTAGGCTGCTAGAGGCAGGTCTTGGTGAACACTGCTGTCCCAACACTTGAAAACACGGAGGAAAGTCTCAAGAATTTCATAGCCCCTTTGTTTCAGAAAAATGAAGTGCTAGAAAAAGCCAGTGTGGATGTCTGTAAGAATGTCTGAATTTCACTGCTGGTCTGGTAACTACAAGATGAAATGCACTTTGGCTCTTCTCAAGTTTTTGTTCCTCAGTTATTTGAATTTGGAATGAAAAACCATCACATTTTGGACGTTCCCACAGGGCAAAAATACAGAATCTGCCTGCAGTTCTTTTTAATACTTTTTAATACAGGCATTCTGTTGGTTTCTTTGGGCGCTCTCTTGATCGTTGTGCGATTTGTACATACTACGTGGAAGCAGCTTCTGGCCAGTAACCCGATCCGCGCACCTCGCGGGATGGCTCACAGCCCGTGCCGCAATTTGGACCAACGCAGTTGTGCACGCGCAGTCCCGCTGGCAAGGCGCTCCGCGGCTCCCGGCGGCCCCGTAGAGCCGTGCCCGACACGCCTCTGCCCGCCGGGCTCTCGCTTGGTACCGGCGGGGAGAATTTCCGCCCGGCGCCACGTGCTTGTCAGGGGGTTTTCTGCTAAAACGGCGTGGATTTGAAAAAGGGAGAAAAGTCTGCGGATGCGGCGTTCCCTTTACTTCCGGCTATCCGCGCCCGGACGCCCTCAGCCGGGAGCGGCATCAACACCGCGGCCGCCGCGCCGGGCTTCGAAAATCCCGCGCGGCCCTTCCCCCGGGGCGGCCCGGACGGCGCCTCGGCCGCGTTCTTCGGTGAGGGTGCGGCGGGCCAGGCCCGGGCCGCTCCCCGCCGCCACTCGCCTCGACGCCTTCGCGGGCCCCGGGCCGCCCCGCCCCGCGCTAACGGCCGCCGGTCCCGCCGACATGGTATCACCCGCAACCCGCGCGGCGTGGTAGATCCCGGGCTGCCCTCGGCCCCCCCCAGCCCCTCTCTTCCCTCGCGCCGAGAGGAACGAGGGCGCGCCCGCCGCTCCCTCTCTTTGTGTGCGAGCGGAGCGAGGCGGCGCGCGGGCGGGCCCGAGCCGAGCCGAGGAGGGCGTTGAGCGGCGTGAGAGGCGGCGCGGCGTGGGGCGGGCGGGCGGTTTGGAGCGGGGCCGCGGGGGCGGGAGGAAGGCGGCGTGGGGAGCGCGGGGCGGCGGGTAACGATGGCGCGGTGCGCGCGGCCGCCGGGCGGCCGGGAGCGCTGAGGGGAAGGAGCCGGCTGGACCCCCGCCCCCAGGTAGGCCGGCTCGGAAAGTTTGGGGCGAGGTGCCGGGGCGGCCCCCGAGGTGCGGAGGCGCTGGGGAGCCCCGACTCGCCGCCGAAACTCGTGGCTCCCTCGCTTCCGGGCGGCCCGCGGGCACCCGGGTCCCTCCGCCTCGCCTCGGCCCGGCCTCCTCGGGCGGCAGGAAGGGCCGGCGGCCTCATTCCTCCTCCCCGCGCTGCGGCCCCGCGGCCCTGGCAGCCGGCGCCAGGCGGAGGGATGCCGGGCGGGGGACGGCCGCTGCTCCGCGGAGCCCTCGGGGCCAATGCCCGGGCGGCCGCCGCCAGCCGTAGCCGCGCGTCCCGGCGGACACAATGGGCTTTATCTGGGCTCGCGCCGCTCTCCCGCCCGGGAACGCGAGTTCGGGATTCGTGTCGCACGCTGGCGAGGTCCCGAGTTAATTAAAACTCTGCGTCCCCTTGCAGATGGCCTTCTGGATACTGTGATCCGCAGCGGAGATAACATCCGATGTGGCCGTACAGGCGCTGTGATTTCTTTCTCTCCGTGTATGCACCGGCGCAGCCCGTCTGAATGTGAGCGTGGAGGCCGGCTGAGGGGGAAAAGGCAGCTCTTCTGCAGGATCCGCTCTGCGCGGCGTCGGAGGGTGGCAGCTTGGTGCCTGTGAATTTTCCTTTCCGCTCCTCAGGAGCTGAGGGAGCTGCTCTCTGACGATGATGAAAACTGAGGGCAAAGGGGAAAGGACTTTAAGAAGTGCTTCTCCACACCGAAATGCCTACAAATCTGACTTCCACGCTATCAAATGCTCTTTTGATGGAGTGAACAGTCCCGAAAACGTTTCCAACAAAACGGGCTTGCAGCAGAAGCTGAGCACCTCTTCTAATGGAGGGGGAAATGACCCACACAGTCGAGGTAGAGCTGCCACTTATGGCAATAGAGTTCACAAGATCAAAAGTATGTTTCTGCAAATGGGAGGCTCCGCTTCCACACCCTCTTGTGAAAGTAGTCCACCTGCTGAGACCAAATTAATCAGTCGGGCCACAGCAGCAGAACATGGGCCTTCTCCAGGTAGCACATCTTTCCTCATTATCCAAAAGAACAATCTTCTTAATACAAATACTGGCCCCAGCAGCAGTCCTGTGGATTCGTCGTCTGTGACTTCTACTGCTGATAAGATCATACGTAGCAACGATGAGGCAGACTTGGACAAAGTTGCCCTGGCAGAAAAGTTTTCAGAGACCAGGAAGCTGTTTGAGAGAAATATAAAACAACGAAGTTCTGTGGACAGATATTCTCCCAGCAAATGTGAAAGAAGTGAAGATAAGAGGAGACATGGTTCAGCTTCTGATAGTAGCAGTGTGGTAGACCACTTCAATTTTAATACAGATGTGAGTCCTTCAGTCGCACTGGATAAGGTTGAAAATCATGGTAGTGAGCTGAAGCAGCAGCATCCCAATAATGGTTCCAAAACCTCCATCTTGAATGCTGGGCCCATTTCTAGGAGGCTGGAAAGCTTTCTAGGTGACAGTGATACTGAAGATTCCAAAGAAATTTCCAAAAGTGATGACCTGAATCAGGGCCCTTTGAAAAGCCACTGCAGTTCGGATTCATCTACTACTGCTGAAAGAAGTCCAGAGAAGATTGCCTCCACCAAAGTGCCTGTGATAGACAGAGGTGGGCAGAGTGAAGTATTTGAAAAAGACAAGAGAGAGAAAGCCATGCTGGAGAGAAGCCTACAGGATATGAGCAGTATATCCTGTCAGGAGGCAAAGTGGAGAACAGAGACTATTCTTTCCCAGGTTTCCCCTGTTGAGGAGACTTGTGTGGAGCTGTCTGTGCAAGATGAAACCTCAGGGCATGGAAAAGAGGGTTTGGATAAAGGTCATGTTGTTAATGAGGATCAACCACTCAAATATCAAATGCAAGAAGGGAAAAGGAGCAGCTATTCCTTGGATTTAGTAGAAGAGTTTACAGAAAGAAACGGAACCAGTCAGGAAGAAGTGAGAGATGGGATGTCTGTTAAAGATGGTCCAGTTCAGGATGTTCTACAGCAAGAGGGGGATACTGGAGAAGAGGAGCAAGTAGTAGAAAAGCAGAGAGATGGCTTCTGTGCTTTTGGAATAGAAAATGCAGCTTTTGATGATTATAGGGATACAGAG